CCCCCCATCAGCCCTGTCTGTTCTCAGTTCTGTCTGTCATTACTTAAGAAACTATCCTTACCTCAAAACCCCTAACGTGGAAGGTGATTAAAATTCCTGTAAAATTGTCATATCTTTGAATTTAGAAGCCAAGCAGATTTTTCATCAATAATTAAGACCTCCAAAGCATTTACGCCAGGCGTAAATGGGGCTGCAATCCTCCTTATTCAAATAAACTTGGTAAACCCATTAGTCAAATGTTTTTACATTTTTCCCCTCCTCTCACGCTTCTGGAATATCAAATGATCACACACTTCTCTTAGACTAGAAAGGTTTCGGTAATCTCGGCACACACTTCAATTAACCAAATAGAAGAGAGCATACAGACAAGAATGAAAGGGGACACTTCTGCACATCAAGGGAAGATATTTCCCACCACGTGGATTAAAACTGAGTATTAAAAGGTATTCAGTATCAACAGTCGATACATGATTGAATGGTACACAAACCCAACGTGATTTTGAAGGGAACACACAGTATCCCAAACGTTCGTGGAATCGGCACGACCCCTCCGTTACTGTGCTGACGACGTCACAATTTAAAAGGAAGTCATCTTTCTAAAATCTCACCATCTCACCAACCGAAGACAACCCAAAAGAGGCACGCCTCACAATCCTGCATTGCCAGCAAACACACACCGCCTCTTCAGGCATCTCACGCTCAGACAAGATTCCAGGAGCTGCTCAAACACTTTTAGCCAGTCAAAAACAAAATAAAATGAATTCGGTGACGAGACGACAATCCAAGGCCGTACGATTTCCATAGCCACCACACTAAAGACAAATATAATTCTATTGATTTTTGGAGTTGGAGTTCTATGAAGTGTTGAACTTGTTCTCAATTGCCTGAGTGACGGCCACAACTGGTCAGCCCTATTTGATTACTAATAAGAGAGCTGTCCTCTCTGTCAGATACCGAACATTCTCCACTAAGCAAACAGCTATCCCAGCTAGTTAAACATTAGCATTGCTCTCCACTGGTGGTGCATATTTCTTTAGGCTTAACTCATAGAGTTTTCCGGGTTTAATTTTTCAGACACTGGACAGCAAAGTTCACGATCAAAAGATAACTTTGTAATGAAAGCTGCTGAAATTCAACCCCTCTTCAAAACCGTCTAACCCTCTGCCTCACAAAACTGGTGTCATATGTACACGCCTAACATTTATTCGATTTGGGTACCAATTGCGAAATCTGCAGTCAATCACACACTGGGCCTCTTACTGTTCCTCCCACTGTTGGGAAGAAA